CCCGATATCTCAGTGTGAAGTGCTGTCACTTATGCTGCCCAGCTCTGCCCTATTGCCATGTACAGATGACTCAAGTGTGCAGACTGTGTCAACATTCACATGTAAATAACAGTGGCATTCATATATAAAATAGCGGCAGCAATGTGGCATTCATATGTATATTATGCCTCCCCCCGAGGTTGCAGCCACCAACAACTCTGGCAGTGGTCAGTGTAAATTCCCCCTTATATTGGTGACCAGTGTAACAATTTATTGGTTGTTGGTGTAAAATCAGTGAATGATATGGATGTGCTGTAACCTCTAGCAACCAATCAAGTGAGTAGTAATGATGTGCTGTAACCTGTAGCAACCAATCAGCAAGCAGAAAAAATGTGATGTAACCTCTAGCAACCAGTCAGTGAGCGGTAGTGATATGCTGAAACCTCTGGCAATCAATCGCAATTGCTGCAATAAACTGATTTTTAGTTTATCTGCTATTTATTGTATGTCTCAGAGCAGGTGGAGGACAAAATTGCATGGGGGGGGGGGGGGGGGGGGGGGGGGGGGGGCATGAAAATGTTTGCCCAGGGTCCTATCAATATTAAAGATGGCCCTGTTTGATTTTAACGGTTTGTATGTATCGTTTTTTGTGTTTTGGTCTGCTTTTATCAGTAATTAGTAATAATGTCTAATTTGGGGCAGTGAGAATAATGGTAGTAGAGCTCATCTTCCTCCTGAGGCCATTAGTGTACAAACCACTTTCAGAAATCTTTAAAGTCCAGCTATCTGTACTAAATTCAAAGTGGCACATAATTGGGTTAGTTGTTAGCTTTGATCTATCACGCTGTGTGGGCATACAGATTAATAGAGGCCTGTGCATTGATGACTACAAAGTCATTTTGGGGTAAGCTTTTAACGATGGTAGAGGATAACAGCTGTAATTTCTTCAAAGAAATTACCACCATAGTTGGAAAAGTGGAAATACACTTTAAAGTGATATTTAAGACAATTAAAAAAACAAAACAAAAAGACATGTTATACTTACCTGCTCTGTGCAGTGGTTTTGGTCTTCTCAGGTCCCCCCGATGGTGCTCCTGGCCCCTCCCTTCTGGTGAGTGCCCCTAGAGCAAGTAGGCTCACTCCTGAGCCGCTGCTCTGTGTGTCCATTCACACATAGAGCTGTGGCTCGGCCCTGCCCCCTCTATCTCCTCATTAGCTCACTGGCTGTGATTGACAGCAGTGGGAGCCTGTGACATAAATGTGACATGAATGTACAAATTTGAGTAGATAAAATGTGACCTGTAGCAATATGTAATCGTAAATGTAGTTGCATGCCTTGTCAGTAAAGAAATACTCAGACACAAATGGTCATCAATTAGCATCTGAAAAGCCTAACTTCCTCTGGAAGTGGCACCTGGGTGCTAATAAGATTTTGTCACCTTCTGGGGAAACCTGTTGGATGGAAATGGCTAGAGACATTGGACATCAGGAGCTCTAAAAGAATATACATACATCAAAGTGGTATGTTTCATCCCTCATAAAAGCTAAAATATTAGTTGCAGAAAGATGAAAATACTTCCTTCTGATGCTGTACTCTGTGGGTCACATCGGTATATAAAAAACAGTATTAAGTGTTTAAAGGCACTAATATACAATACAATCTAATCTCTCCAATCTAATCTCTCTGGAAATATGAGCCTGTGCTTAAATAAACAGAAGTCACTTATTAATTTTAAGATTTAATATCCCGAAAGTGGGCAGTGCATAAAATATGTACAAAATATAAAAAAAGTTACAGAAATACAAAAAATACAAGAAGACACACACAGACTATTCACTATAAAATAAAAGGGAATAAAACAGAATAAAACTTTTACCCAGATTTACCCTGCGACTGGAGCAAGTCAGAAAAAGTCCGTAATCCGTTAGTCGATCGAACCAGCTACCATGTCCCAATGTCCGGGTACTCAATTTATGGGGATATGGACGTAGGCGGGACATTAGTTCTCAGCCAATTGACCCTGGGGGTGTTCCTGCACCCGCCCACAGGATGTTCTGGGTGCTGACCTGCCCAAGTTCAATCGGACCAAGACCAGCTTGGATCACCAAGTCGGGGATTGAATTTCCGACATCAGCGCATCAGTCCGATCGCGACAGTACCAATCACTGTTCGGCTATCGCACTCCAGGGCCACATAACCATTTCCTGCATTTTCCTGGCATTCTACCTAATCCACAAATACGTTTTTTATATGTCGATGTGACCCACAGAGTACAGCATCAGAAGGAAGTATTTTCTCCTTTCTGCAACTAATATTTTAGCTTTTATGAGGGATGAAACATACCCCTTTGATGTATGTATATTCTTTTAGAGCTCCCGATGTCCAATGTCTCCAGCCATTTCCTTCCAACAGGTTTCTCCAGAAGATGACAAAATCTTATTAGCACCCAGGTGCCACTTCCAGAGAAAGCTAGGCTTTTCAGATGCTAATTGATGACCATTTGTGTCTGAGTACCTCTGACTGAATATTTCTTTACTGACAAGGCATGCAACTACATTTACGATTCCATATTGCTACAGGTCACATCTTATCTACTCAAATTTGTACATTCATGTCACATTTATGTCACAGAGCCCATGGCTCCCACTGCTGTCTCAACCAATAAAAAGGGAGAGTCTCCGAAGAGCTGAGGCTCTCGTGCAAATCGCTAGATTGAGATGGGACTTGGGTAAGTATTGGGGGGGCGGGGGGGGGGGGCTGCTGCACGCAGAAGGTTTTTGATTTGCATGCTCAGAATGCATGAAGGTAAAAAAAACCTTGAGCCTTTACAACCACTTTAAGGATTTTTTTTTAGTGACAATAATTTTTGGCTATATCCAAAGAAATTTTAAAATTAGTCACATGGCTGAAAATAAGATTCTTACCTTTTGTGCTATCGTGTTGTGTATGGAGTTTCATGTCGTGCACCATACAGACGTATGGCTGGACTGACCCCTTGTGAATGTAGTGGGGTTTTTTTAATGGTGACATGCAATTTTATTTTAAACAGTATAATCATGTTAATTATTTCACAGTGCTCATCTAGAGTAAACCTTCACAATCCCCACATTCAGTCTGAGTGTTTTAGCTGCTAAATATAAAAACTGGCTAAATGTATGCATTCAATGTCTCATGCAGTGTTACTTAATATAGAGGTAGAAATCCCCAGCTGAATATGCTCACAAAGTATAGATTGCTATTCCCAGGCACAGTGTAGGAACATGTTCCTCTGCAAGATAATTATTCAGTCAGCCAGACTGTTCTGTCACCGCTACATATTACCCTGTGGACTATGTGCAGCTTGATATGCAGCTAAATACGTAAAATAGAACGGATAACAATAGAGCTAATTCAATAAAGTACGGTATTTGCTACATTTTTTTCTGCCAGTAGTGGCTCAGTAAAAAGGCCTGTTCCTAATTAATGAAAGCCCTGTGACAGTCCTGTTATCAGTTCAGGCAACTGCAAAAGATTTGTGTAGTTCTTAACATCTTGCCTACAGGGCACTTTTACCCCCTTCCTTCCTAGGGCAATTTTTAGGCATTCAGTGCTGTTGCACTTTGAATGACAATGGCACAGTCATACAACACTGTACCCAAAATATATGTATATCCTTTTTTCCACACAAATAGAGCTTTCTTTTGGTGGTATTTAATCGCAACTGGGTGTTTTATTTTTTGCTAAACAAACAAAAAAAGACTGAAATAAAAAAAAAAAATAGATTTTCTTAGTTTCTATTATAACATTTTGCAAACACGTAATTTTCCTCTTTCGCATGTGCGTTGATGAGGCTGCACTAATAGGCACTGATGAGGTGGCATGGATGGATGAGGTGGCACTGGTGGGCATTGATGAGGAGGCACTGATGAGTCTGCACTGATATGTGGCAATGATGGGCACTGATGGGCGGCAATGATAGTTGGCACTGATGGGCAGCACTGCTGGACACTGTTTGGCAGCACTGTTGGACACTGATGGACCCTGATTGGTATGGATAGGCACTGTTGGAGCTGCACTGATAATCAGGGCACTGGTAATCAGTGTAGATGTCTCCTTTCACACTTCATGGCTATTGGCAGTACTTTCCTCATGCTGTGACAGCGAGAGGAAAGTACTGCCAATAACCTGCAAGTGAGTTTACATTGTGATCACCTGTGATTGGACACAGTTGATCACGTGGTAAACAGCCACTACATTTGGCCTTTTACTGTGACATGTGATCAGCTGTGTCTGAAGGACACAGCAAACACAGAGAGCACTAGGTGTCCTCCCAGAACCGGACGACCGCGCTGTAGCCATAGTTTAGATATAGCGTGGTTAGCAAGTGGTTAAATGCGCCACTTTCACAATGTGTCACTGTGACTGTAATGTTTACAGGTTGGCCATGGCCACATCCACCATGTCCATATAAATGTCAGCGCTGCTGACTGAGGGCCAAATCATACCAGTGCGTTTTAGCGCAGCTGTAAAGCACAGATCAACAGAAGAACACATGAAAAATAATCATTTCCAATGTGTCTTATTCACACCATAATGTTGCATTGCAGTGCGCTAAAATGCAAAATGTAAGTCAACAGATGTCAAAATGTATGCGTACCAGTTCATTTATTCCCCCTCTCTTTTTCTTAAATTTAAATAGGGACATGTGCGTTCCATGCGTTTTGGTGCGTGCCAGTGCATTCTGGTCCATTTTTGGTGCGTTTTACTGCATTCCAGTACAGTTCTGTGCAGAAAAAATGAAGCATGTTCTACTTTTTTTTTTCTGCAACTGGAATGCACTGGAACTGCAGGCACTGATGTGAACTATGACATTGGCAACTATGTCACCTACTTTCTGTAGAAAAAACACAACTGAAACGCTTGTAGTTTGAACCGGCCCTGAAGAAAAACATTGATCTTGTGTGTGACATAACGCTATGCAAAAATAAAAACAGTCTTACCTTCATTTCTGATGACCTTTTATTGTACTTTATCTTTGCAGAATCAGTGACATCTTGTGCCTTGCTGACTCAACATCGCTTTCGGAAGTCACACTTGATGGCAACCCTATAGCTCAAGAGTCATGGTACAGACAAACCATTCTGGGGCACATGCTGCAGCTGAGACAGCTGGACATGAAGAGAATCACGGTAAAGGGAGAGCCTTAAAGTAACTGTGTTGTGAGTAAATGTAGCCTGTAAAAAAAAAAAGCAATAACTTACCTATCCCACTGGCTGTATCTCTGGTGTCAGTGGGAGGAATAGTGCCCCATCATTGGTGTCAGTGGGAGGAATAGGAAATAGTGCCCCATCATTGGTGTCAGTGGGAGGAATAGTGCCCCATCATTGGTGTCAGTGGGAGGAATAGTGCCCCATTATTGGTATCAGTGGGAGGAATAGTGCCCCATCATTGGTGTCAGTGGGAGGAATAGTGCCCCATCATTGGTGTCAGTGGGAGGAATAGTGCCCCATCATTGGTATCAGTGGGAGGAATAGTGCCCCATCATTGGTGTCAGTGGGAGGAAATTAAAATAAAATTTCCTGCATGTTTCTACCAAATTGTTGTAATGACAGTGTTTATGTCCTGTATAATATACATGCGATAGTTTTAACGGGAAGCTGTGCCAAGACAAGTATGCCATTGTGAGCTCCTTTTGATGAAGCTACTTTCCTGGCTGTCTTTGGCTTCCAAAGCGCCTAGGTCACTGGCTTAAAAAAAAAAAAAGAAACGTGTCAGAGCTCCTGACCTGTATACTTAAGTCTTGTTTACACTTACTGTTGGGGAGCAGTAAAAATAGTTGGCTGAGCCACAGTCCCCCCTTTAAGCTGCAAAGATGTCAGGTGGGGTTGAACACATGCTGCGGCCATGGCTTATACCTACTGTTACATTTGTCGGTGGTAATACCCACCAAACACGACCCATTTAAGTGAATGAACTGCACCATAACTGCCCTACAAGCATGTGCAATGCAGGTATTGGGGTACAGTGGTGTGGCCTTTACAGGGTAAAAATAGATGGTAAGGCAGTGACCTATTGCCTCATCACGGTCTGTCAAATGCCTCTGAAAAATTATCAATTGATCACTTTTCAGAGGCGCAGCAAGGTTTGTCGCAAATTTAAACTTAGCTTTTCTTTGGATGAAAAAATTGCATTTTCACCTAGCCTGGTGAATGAGGTGAAGCTAAGTGAAAATTCACATTGCAAAGAATTTCCAATCATGTGCAATGTGAAAAAAAAAAAGTATTTCTGCTTGCACATAATTTGATGATTGAAGTCAACAAAGCTTTATCTCATTCACTGGATAAAAAAGTGAATTTTCACTGAACTTGATGATGCGATGCTATGCTGACTCAAGTTCAAGTTTTATTTCTTTCCTAATTTTTTCTTGCATGTGATTGGACATTCTTGGAAAATGGAGTTTTCACAGCAATAGTACAAGTACTAGATTATTTCATCCATTCAATTCTTAGATAGCTCTGCCAATTTATATGAACTAGACACATCCTTGTTTCCTGATGTAGCTGGTCATGTGACCAAGCTTTGAACTCACCGATCAACAGGCAGGTATGCGTTTTCAAAGCTGGTAATGGAAGGTAATCTTTTTTACGTTAAGGCTCCATGTACACGGGACACTTCTGAATGATGGAAACTGACTACTAGAAAACATAGGTTAAAAAATGTCTGTTGAGCCGCGTTTGCATACCGCGTTTATGCGCGTTTATGCACGTTTGCATTTAGAAACGTTTTTTAAAAACTTCAAGTCCGAACACTTTTACCCCCTTCCTGTCCAGGCCAATTTTCAGCTTTCAGCGCTATCACACTTTGAATGACAATTGCGCGGTCATGAAAGACTGTACCCATATGAAATGTTTAGCATTTTTTTGAGACAAATAAAGCTTTATTTTGGTGGTATTTATTATTTTTTTTTATATATATTTTTTTTTTTACGTACTGTCACCCTAGCAGTACAGTGTCACCATGGTGACACTGTACTACTTGGAGAGGTGATGAAAATTTTTTTTTTTTTTTTTTTTTTACACTGATTGCTTTTACACCCATAAAGGCTGTAAAAGCAATCATTTCTTGCAGCCATTGAGAAATACTGTGTGAGCTGTGATTGGTCACAGTCACAGCTTGTCAATAGCCTTGTACCATGTGACCTCTGTGATCATTCACAGATTTCACATGTAGTAAGCAATGATGTCAGAAGTGACATCTTGCTTACTACTCTGCATGTAATCACTGATTGGCCAATCAGTGATCACATGATCGGGACCTCGCACAGACAATCGGTGTTCCACTGTGTCTGGAGGACACAGCGGGCACCGGATCGCGGTACTGCGCGCTCCCAGGGAGCCTGCCCCTGCACTACCACCGTCCGGCCATCTATATACAATGGCCGGAAGGGAGGTGGTTAAAGATAACCTCAGGAGACCTTCCAAAATGCCCGGAATGCACTGAAAAACAGTAAAAATGTAACTATTTCAGACATTTTGAGAGAAATAGAGAGAGCAGAAGCAGAGGAAGCAGTATTTGCTGAGATTAGCTGTCTTCTTTTGTGGTGTTTGGATGTGTTCCAGCTCATTTCTGTGCAGAAATTATTGCAGCAGTGTCTAACATATTTTCTTTTATGCGAAACCTCAAAGTATGGTGTACCAGGTCCATTTGAGTACCGGGAAAAATGTCAAACGCAAATGCTTATAAATGCGGTTAGCTGCGTTTATACGCATTTACATGCATTTGGCATTTGAAACGCTGATAAAATCTACTCCTGAACGCAAGTTTTCTGCATTAAAAAAAAACCGACTAATCTCAACTGCCTGTAAACGACTATGTGTATGTACATGGACACATAGGAAAACATTAGGGAGAGTTCAGGGGCTGCTGAAAAAAATGCAGAACAGCTCCTGAACGTCAGTTTATCAGCTGCAGTGTACATGAACCCTAAAGTGTATCTCAAGCCAAATGTTTTATTTGGATAAAGGAGGGAAGGGTTAGAACCTCTGTCCAGTGCTGAGACACTATTCTTGACATCTCATAACATCCTATCCTGGTGATAATGTTGGCTCTCTTCAATGTCACAGCTTTGTATGGGATACTTTGTTGTGCCATGACAGATCATTTCGTTAAGGGGAGGCGGTGGTGTGTCAAGTATGGGCAGCCCTTTGATTGAGCCTCTTATTAAAATACCGAATCCTGCTTCTCATGATTGGTCTACATCTGAAGTCACTTAATATCAAGAGTGACTGTTTGGATTGCAAAAATTTCAGTTGTATTAGCACATATAGAAATCCATAAAATCTGACTTCTGCTTTTCTATATCACCACATATTAACCACTTGCCCTCTGGAAGATTTACCCCCCTTCCTGACCAGGCCATTTTTTGCGATACAGTGTTTAGTTATTTTAAAGTGTTACTACACCTACAACAGTAAGATCAGTCTGTATATGCAGTAAAGCATGCTTGTTATGCTCACTGTGGAACCTAAGGGGTTAATCCTTTGCAATGCATAAAAACTCTGTTTGATCTTGACTTCTCTGATCCTCCCCTTCTTCCAGTGTCCCCCTCTTATCGCCTGATAAGACATATCGTATGGAGGCACTGCACATGCTCAGTTTGGTGTGTATTGTTAGGGTTTTTTTTTTTCTTGGGAGAGTGCATGTGAACAGCACAGGGCCAATCAGCACGTTCCAGACAGAGGCCAGGGGGTCCTGCATCCTCCTAGATCAAAATGAAAACTTCTCCTGCAAGCTTTAACATGTGCTCGGCTAGAAGTCACAAGACTGTACTGTGGGAGACCAGATATAGTGAATGCAGTGTCCTGATAGACATATCGTGTGGAGACACTGCACATGCTCAGTTTGGTGTGTATTGTTAGAGAGGCTTTTTTTTTCTTTTTTATGGGAGAGTGCATGTGATCAGCACAGGGCCAATCAGTGCTGTCCAAACAGAGGTCAGGGGTTCTGTATCTTAGAGAAAACTGTTCCTAAAGGCTTTAACCAGTGCTCTGCTGGATACTGATAGAAGTCACAAAACTGCTCTAACTGCTGATGAGGTATTTAGCAGTTTATAGTTACTAAAATAATTGCATTTCCATGTAGTATGTACTGTGGGAGACCAGATATAGTGAATGCAGGTTCTTGGGTTTAGTAACACTTTAAGTTTAAGCATCTTTACTTTACAGGGCAGCTGGTTTAGGGCTTAGAATGGGGGATAGAGCAGGTTTAATCTTAGTCAGGTTTTCACTGGATTTCCACCTTAAAGAATAAGTTCATCTTCGGGATCAAGTTACGTGTTCCATCCATTTTTAGTACGGAACATGTAACACGTTCCCACTCCTGCAGCTGTCAGCCTCAATCCCCCCCTCACTGTGACAGCACGTTGGGGATCTTTGCCCCGCACCCACAGTCACAATTTTTTAAAATGCTGCCATGCATAGCTCTGCCCACTCGGTCTCCTCTTTCATTCACAGAGTTCTGTAAATGGGAGAATTATAACTAGCATCAGCCTTTGCAGCTGACAGCTTGTAGTTCTCAATGAACTACCAGGACGCTGGTGTGCGCTACAGGTAGTTCATTGATTCTTCATGTCATTGTGTAACTGCCTGCCTGTACGAGGTACGAACAGACAGCTTACACTGACAGCCTGCAGGAGCCCTGCATTTCATTGGTAATCTGCTGACCGCGGATGCAATGCTCTGCAGGCTTCTAATATAAAAAATAATAAAGGCACATTTTCTTTTTATCTGCTAAAAGATGTGTATTTATAATTTTTTTTTAAAAGGTAAACTTATCATTTAGCCTTTCAGTGATCACCAGCAATGGCAGTGATCATCAATAGGGAGTCGAAAGTTATCACTTGGCAGGGAGATGGAAGTGTTCAACCCCAGCCCCTTCACCCTGATAGTGGTTGATAACTGACAATCTGATCACAACTGTACAATGCACATGAGGATACATACTTGTATGCACATTAATATGTAAATTTATATATGTGCTCTTGTGATCATGTGTCCACCTCCTGGTATCTGTGAATAATTTGCCCCTATCGTTTCATTGGAGATTGATATGCTTTTTATGTAAGAATTCCTGGTATGAATTAAACAGGAAACATACGGTAATCTGTTCAAAAGCTGGAGTTTGCTGGCAA